CACTTTTCATCGATCAACTTCTGATTGTGAACTATTTGATAATATGTGGATGCAATACGGAAATATGTTGGGTGATGTGGATGTGACGAGTATGAATGTTATTAGTGGAACACGATTTCCACGAGGTGAGTATGAATAGAACAAATTTAGAAGAAAATATATCTTTAAGAGAGAAAAATTTATTTTCCAAACTCGACTTTGCAAATATCGTAGTAAAACGAAATCTCTTTGACACTTAAAAATTAAACAATCAATATCATCGAATATTAAGAGAATAATGAAGAAAAAAATGAGATAATTGTTCTATGAAACGTCTATGGATATTATGCTTCTCATGTTTATAAATCTAGACAAAATATCGATGTCGATTAAACAAATTTTCATCGGATTTTTAATTGTGCTGGGTACTCATAAACTATGATCTTTCCTCTTTCACTTAGAATTAGTTTCTGATCTCAATCTCATCTTAAATGAAAATGAAAGATTTCAAGAAACAATACAATACGCAAATCTTACATGACTCAATCTGTATAATTCGAATAGTTTCTTTATTATTAAATTTATAAGAAAGGTAAATTGAGTTTTCAAATGTATTATAATTGAGTTATAATTAAAGTAAACATCATAGAATTACAATTAGAATAGAAATCATTTAAACACTTCCTATTTTGTTACAACCAATTCATTTTTAACGCCTATACACTGTTACAGAAGAAGGAGAAAAAAATATTATCCAGTCGTTTAGGTTTCCTTTAAAATCATTTTTTCAAAATAGAACCGACTACGACAACTTCATCATCAACAACCACAACCACTACAACAACCACTACAACCACAACAACCACAACAACAACCACTACAACAACAACAACAACACCAAGTCAGTACTATGTTAAATGATTTATAGTTGCTCAAAAGATGATAAGTACAACTGACTACATCTAAGAGTTTAAGTTTTACCTATCAAATGTTTGGCATCTCGATAAATAACATTAGCAAACATTTCCTCTCAGAAGTGGAAATATGATCAGTTTTTAGTGACTTGATTCGATCTAGACTGACTCAAATATTGAATAGATTGTTGATAAGAAGAATGTCATACGATAGAAATCGCTGATCACTTTCATAATCTTCAATAACACTCACCAACTCTCAAGGTGACTGGAATTGTGTTCAATAGATACATAACTTATGCACATGAGAGATTCGAAGCTATTTTAAGAACAACAGTTTTTTCTCACTTTTCTATTTTATCTAGAATGGACAATGACAGGAAACATGAGTGTCGCACTGTATGGTCACACAACATCCACACTGGCGAATGGATCAATATTAGTGACTGGTGGACGGGACAACAGTGGTAATTATCTCAGTAGTGCTGAATTGTACAATCCATTAACAGGTACTTGGGCAACTACAGGAAACATGAATTGCACACGACAACTACACACAGCATCCGTATTAGCAAATGGATTAGTATTAGTTACTGGTGGAACCAATAGCAGTGTTTATTTCAATAGTGCTGAATTGTACAATCCATTAACAGGCACTTGGACAACCACAGGAAGTATGACTTTTGGACGAGGATCTCACACAGCATCCACATTATCAAATGGATTAGTATTAGTTACTGGTGGACAGAACAATACTAGTACGTCTATGTCTCTCAATACTGCTGAATTGTACAATACATCAACAGGTACTTGGACAACTACAGGAGGCATGAATGTCCTACGATATCGTCACACAGCATCCACATTAGCAAATGGATCAATATTAGTTGCTGGTGGACAGAACACCGGTGGTTATCTCAATACTGCTGAGTTATACAATCCGTCAACAGGTACTTGGACAACCACAGGAAGCATGAATACCGCACGAGATCTTCATACAGCATCCACGTTAACAAATGGATCCATATTAGTTGCCGGTGGACAGGGAAACGGTAGTAGTTATCTAAATAGTGCTGAATTGTTGAATCCATCAACAGGCACGTGGACTACCACAAGAAGCATGAATGTCGCACGATATTCCCATACAGTATCCACATTAGCAAATGGATCAGTAGTAGTTGCTGGTGGACAGAATATTGGTGGTGCTCTCAATAGTGCTGAGCTTTATTAATCAATACAGACAGAATGACATTTTCTTTTGTGAACTTAATCATAAAAACTTTATATATAATCAAACTATATAATCATTCACATTTCTTAATACACCACCATTCACCAAATAATACATGAGTTGGAGTAATATCTCGAAGTTATATTTTATGACGATTGTTGAAAAAGAGTCATGTTGGATAAAAGACAGATCATTATTTGTACAGATGAGTGGATATAAATACAGATATGAAGAATATTAATCATTTGATGCTCTCAGTCGCATATATTCGAATGATAACATATGAATAATCGTTCTCAAGTGAATATCAGACATGAATAATTGAATAATATGTTCAAACAAATCAATTTTTTCAACTACACCCTTTTATATCAGATAGTTTGATCAGTTTAATTGTTGTATTTTAGAAAGTAGATATATTTTATGTTTTTATTATGTGTATAATTTTATAAAACGAATGATAGTCCCAACAAAGAACAAAGCAAATATCCATGTAAAAGAAACAAGGCATATTGTGGAAAAACTACTACTTATTTCTGACTAAATTAATGAAAAAGAAAATAGAATTTATATTACTGAAAGTAAAAAGAGACGAATGAGAGGGTGTGGAAAATAAATCACAAGAAAAGCAAGAATTATGTTTATATTTCAACCAAGTTCTGTTGAGTAAAAGTTTTATTTTCAAAATTCGAATTTTTCCATAAAGGATGTTGTGGAAAATGACGTATTGTTAATTTATGTTGAGATTTTGATGATATTTGCTCGTCAGGTATTGGTATTGAATGCATACTGAGAAACTGTTGACGAAGAATCGAATCGAGAAGAAAAGAGCGAATCAAATAAACACGAATAATTGAAAAACTACTCCATATGATGCAAGCACAGACACAGAGACTTGCTAGAGTAATAAGAACAATACTACTTATAGACAACTGTTCTGGTTTTTTGAGCAATTGTAGTTGAATCCGTTAGTGTGACTGTTTTTGTTACTGTCGTAGTGGTAGACATAATTACTGAAGTAGTTGAACTTGATATTTTAAATGTTTGGCGTGTTGGTGTCTTAAAATAAAAATTCATAGAAAATCTATTTTTATGTCTCCCTCGAAAATATTTACTGTTCGCATTGTTGTTGTTGATGATACAGATGTTGTTGATGTTGTCGCTGAAAATAACAACATATATATATATATTATTAAAAAAGAAGTGATCTAATTACTTGTACTAGTTGTTGTCGATTCATATGGTATATTAAATGGCCAAAAGTTCGGATCAGTTATAGACATTGCTTCTTTCGAACATGAACTAGCTCCTTGTTCGTCTAATATACCAGAATCAAAATAAATATAAAAACTTCCACCTGGAGTCCACATAACCGTTGTATTTATTACTATACTATTCGTTAAATAAAGAACATTACTAGTTGCAGTAGCAACATTTAATACATAATAATCAGTATTATCTGATGCTCGTTTGAATCGAATATATGTTTCAGTTGTTGGTCGTTGATAAACTGTTGATCCAGTAAGAATAGTCCATACTGATGTTGTCTTTGAAACTGTTCCTGTTGGATAATGAGTTGCATTCGATGTATATAAAGGTTGAAGACTGGATGTTTGTGATAAGACAGTAAAACGAAGACAAACTGAATCTCCTTGATTACCAATAGAATCAACACCAGCGAAACAATAGAGATTTTGTCCTATTTGATTAGCATTGGATGTAAAATTAGCTAGAAATACATAAATAGTAGAATCAAATGGATCTTGTTGAAGTGCTGTAGTTAATAGACCAGTTGGATTAACGCTAATAATACTATCAACAGTTGCATTCTGACATTGAACTTTGAAACGAACACGTGTAGTATAAGTACTACCAACTAGCATATATATACATATATCAGGTACAAGATCACCTATATAAATAGGCCCAGTAACACAAGGATTTGTCGAATTGTAAACATGAAATACGAATTGAATAGGTACTTGTGAGAGATAAGCAGTAGATGATATATTAATTGATAGTAGTATAAAATCTTCAACTGTTACCGCTGCTGCATAATAACCGATTAATTGTGGTGTAAAATTCAAATAACATCCATAGTTATCAATAATACCACCTGGTACACTGTTAGTCAATCCACCACATTGATTGGTACCTTTAGACCATAAGCAAATGTATGGATCAAAATCATTATCAGCTACATTGATTTTAATTGAATAACTAATTTTATTTCTCAATCGATAGATTGGTAACATAGTAACAATAGGTGCATTATTATATCGTCCAGTATCGATTCGTTTAAAAGTTTGAATTTGAACAGCTACACTCCATGGTAAACTAGTTCCTGTTACAAGATCGAACCAATACGAACCAGAAAAAACTCCTATAAAACTAGAATTGTGTGGCACTGAAAATGTAAAGCGTCCTTCGCCCATTGCATATTGTTCACCAATATTGTAACCTGTGCAAGGAACTTGAACACTTCCAAGTGTTGATAAACCTGTTGGACAACTACTAACACAATTAATATAATTACCTGCACCTAAAAGAGGTTGTCCAGTTGGAATAGTTGCATTTGTACAATATGGACTATAGTAAGTATATCGCCAAGCATACCGTTGAAAAATTTGAACAGAAACAGACGAAGAGGAATCATTGACTATTCGCCAAGATATCATTGAACCACGAAAATGAGTTGCTTGAATAATATGAGATAGATAAAATATAGAGATGAAAATTAGATAATAACATTTCAAATACATGTCTTTTGTAAGAAAAAAATATAAATGAAGAATAATACAATCAGAGATTATTGTATGGGCGTATTTCAATTTCGAAAAAATGCATCGTACTTTATTTACGGACAACAAAATCAATTAATTGTGAATATATAAATGTAGGATTTCGACGTGAAGTTCTACATTATTATAATACCAAAATGAATTACGTTGTCAACTAATATATTATTGATCAAAATAGATCAATGATTTTCTATGATTTCATTGTAGAATAAATAAAGTATTTGCTACTACAAAAAGCATGACATAGTATAAAAAAATATAATTAATTAAAATTTAATTTGATTTTCGTTTGAATCAATATAAGAATATTTATCAACATATCCAAATAAACTTCGAAAGTTTAAAATTTTAAGGACAGACGAATAAGATCATTTTGAGTACTAATTCGATCAGGATGTGTTGAAGATAAAATTTTTGTACGAATAAAATTTGCTTTTTCATAATTTATTTTTGCTTCATTAAAATCTTGTTTAGCTTCATAAACAATACCTATATTCATCAATATTCTAGCTATTGAAGGATGTCCAGGCGCAATACTTTTACTAAAGATTTCATATGATAATTGATACATGTCTAATGCTTGATCATAATCATGAAAATAATAATAAATATTACCAAGATTATTATATGTATTACCTAAACAAGGATGTTTAGGAGGAAGATATTTTAATTTAATATTTAATGCTTTGTTAAGATAGTTACGAGCTTTATCATATTCTTTTTTATCCTCATAAATAGTACCTAAATTATTATAACACCATGCTAGAGTCTGTTCATTACAATTGGATTGTTGTTGAAAAATTGTTAATGCTTTTTCATATGATTGTAATGCTTGTTTAATATCACCTTTTTTTTGTTGAACTTCACCAATACTATTATAAAGATAACCAATATTAGAATCATTTGAATTTATATTTTGTAAAATTTCAAGCGATTTAAAAAGATAAACGAGACTTAAATCATAATTTCCTTTTTCACAAGATATTTTAGCAAGACCATGATAACATTTATAAATATTTTTATGTTGAGAAGATAATTGTTTTAATAATCGAATAAAATATTTTTCCGCATGATCAAAATAAGCCATATCAATTAGAAGATTTCCAAATTCAAGTAATCCTCTACTATTTAAACTATATTGATTTTGTAAATGATGAAATGTATTATGTAAATCATAATCAATATTACCATATAAATCCATTTCAATATGCCATATATGATTTTCACCAAGACGAATATCTTTTAAATAGAAAACTGATCCAAGTGTCATCAAAAATTCTCCTTCTGGGAAATAACTAAATTTTGAAAGATCAGCAAATGGTTTAACACCATCTTTACGAGGATCAGCATCGATTTCAAATAAAACTCTTTCATATGTATCATTATAAGGAAATGAACCAAGAAAGAAAAGAGCTATTTGACGATTAGAACTCGTTGAAAGAAATGAATTTATTGATATTAATTTATTTTGTGATTTTTTTAATATATTTAATTCATCCGATGACATCAATTGACCTCGATAGACACGTATAGGTAATAGATATTGATTTTCATAAAGTTGTTGTTCAATATCACGAATAAAAAAACGAAAGAGGAAAAGAAAATCGATATTTTGAATACGAAGTGCTTTGTTTAATAAACGATAAATAAAAGTTTCTCTACTATACCACCATAAGGAATATTCATCGGCATAATCTTGTTCAAATTCATCAATAATTTTTAATTGTTTAGGATTATCTTTATAAATTTCTCGACATTGTAATATAAATTCATTTTTATCTCTTGGTGTCGTTTTCATTTTAACAAGACAAGCAATTAATAATTGTGTTTGAAGAAATCGACCATCAAGTCCTGTTGTTGATTGTTCATAATCATTATTTTGATCGAAAATACTCATTGATAATGGTTCATCAGATTTATTTTGTCTTCGTTCACAATGATCATATTGGATTCTCTTAATCAATTCGTGTAATTGATTACAAACACTTTTTACCTAAGATAAGATGAAACGTCTATAATGATTTTTGTTCCCTTCTTATTATTTTACTTTATTATATTGTTGACTCCATTGATGATGAAACTGTTGATTTTCACAATAAATATAAATTGAAAAAATTTGTTGAAGAGAATGAATTTTAGGTATAATTTGTTGACCAAAACTACCACTAACAACAAAAACAATTCGATCATCTAGTGAAACTGATTGAATATATTGTTCACATTGATCAAGATTTTCGAATATTTGTAAATGATTTATAAATGATCGAAATATTGCTTGAGTTTCAATATTATCTTTTGAGTTAACTGAAGTATCAAGCCATATAAGAGAATATGTTTCAAAATTATTATCTTCCGACATAGAATATATCGATTCTGAATAAGGTGTCATTAGTTTTATTTTATGAAATTTATATAAAATCTATAAATTAAAAACATTTTCTTTCGAATAAACTGAAAGGGTGTCGGCGTGCGTGTGGATTCATCATTTATTTACCCACACCCACACCCTCAGAACTACCTGATTATTATCAGCTTGAATAACCTATATGAAATTTGATTTTTCACTTTTTATTATTACTCTCTTATCTGAGTCGATTTACATAAGGAAAGAAAGAAATCAAATAACATAAAAATGATTTTGTATTCATTGATAATATCATTCTCAGTAGTATAAAGGAGATAAATAAAACTAGAAAAAAATATATATCGACTGATTTTTACTTGCTATTTTTGCAATAGTTGTAAACATGATCAAAAAGAATATTTCAGGAATCAGAATCGTTTTATTTTAAATGATATCAAGTCATAAGTCAATCTTTTTTATACTTATATGACTGCAAGTGATCATATTTTCACGTTTTACAATAAAAATGTATACCTGTTAATGTATTGCACCAAAGGTATTGCCTCGTAAAAATATGACATGAAAGTTTCATTTCAATATAGTATATATATCTCACTGCAATAAAACTTTTATGTCATATCTTGATTTGGTCATAAATTTGATGCAAAGTATGATAATATAGAAACAATGAGAAGAAAAGACGTTTTATCCGATGCTATAAATAACTCAAAGAAATAAAATTAAATCTTTTTCTGTCAAAGCTAATCAAGTTACTTGCTTATGTTGAGGATTGGTTCAAAATGAAATGTACCACCAACTTAGGGTGTGGGTGTTGGATTGTGTATGGGTGTATGATAAGTGAAGACAATATCCAAACCTACTCCACAGTCATATTCGCATCTACTCCCAAGGAAGAAAATGCGTAATTTTGTACTTCAAGTGAATTTGAGCTACTTTACCCTATTTTAAGTTACTTTTAAGCTACTTCAACCTACTTTATGTTACTTTATACCACTTTAGACTACTTCAGTCTACTTTACACCACTTTGTGGTATTTCGAGCCTACTTTAAGCTACTTTGATACTTTATAGTACTTTATGATACTTTATGCTTTAAAGTACGCTATTTCCCCCTTGCAAGAAAGTGACAAACTTTCTGCTCGCATGAAAGTAAGCACATTTTTTCTTCTTTCTTTAATGAATAGAAACATTCTCGACTTCAATAACTACTTGCATTATGATCAACAACCGAATGAAAGAAAAAAATTTCTGTTATATACAACCCTACATCCATCTGGTGTTCTTTTGTATCAGAACTATAACACAACTTCATATTCTACTCGTTCTGTGTATGTATCGCATTTACACAAGTAATGTATAAGATAACCATATGCTTTTTTGTATGATGTGTTGCAATAAAGTTGTGTAATATAGTGGGGAAAAACGAGAAGATTAAAAGAATGAAGCAAAATTAATGCAAGTTACAGAACACAAATATTCTTGAAAGTATCGAGTCACTTTATTCATTCATACATAATGGCCTGTGCAGAAAATATTACGATCGACAATAAAACTAGTTCTTCTGAATTAAATAATGGATCTAACGAAGAAATACTTTTCGATGCTGTCGAAACAAATAATGTGCCTGTTGTAAAGAATTTCGAGAAAGATGAACTTCAACAGTTATGTCAAATACCTCGTATTTTCCCTTCTGAATGGTCATCACCACACGAAGAACAACAAACAGCTTATCAACGTGCATGTCTTCTTGGTCATAGAGACATTGTACAGTGTATGTTGAATGCTGGTATTGAAGTTGATCAAATGTTGTCTGGTGGCAATTCGGGTGCTACTATGCGTGGAGCATTTATGTTTGCTTGTCAATCACGCTCGATGGAAACAATTCAAGCTTTACTCGACGCTGGGGCACCTGTTAATAAATTCGGTTCGTGTTCTCTCGCCTATGCTAACTCATTTCTACACAGTATTTCTGCTTCTTATCCGTACGAAATTCTGTTAGTATCTTGGGAGAATCTATATCCTATTCATTATGCCATTGTCGATAATAATCTCCAATTATTACAAAAACTGATTACTCCTGATACACTCAAGTTAGTAACAAATAAATGGTTCACTCCTTTGCATATAGCATGTCTTTTCAATCGATCTATAACAATGATTGATCTATTGCTTTCTTATGGAGATGCTAATGCTGCAATAATAACCAAAACAGGTGATAGCAAATTTCCCGATGACCTAGCAACGGATTCAACAATAATTGAATATCTTCGACCTACTCGCATGTCCATTTACAAAGAGCAGGAGAAGAAAAACGAACATGATTTAAAGTCACTTGAAGTAGGAACTAGTTTTCAAATTTTTATTACTAGTCTTGTAGGTACAACTTTGACAATTATTGTTTCGGCAGAGGATACTGTCGAAGATTTGAAGGCAAAAATTCAAGACAGGAACGGTATTCCACCTGATAAACAACGAATTATATACGCAGGAAAGCAACTAGAAGATGGTCACACACTTTCCGACTACAATATTTCAAAATATACTACACTTCATTTGGTAGTTAAGGTGTATGGTGGATACAGTCATTAACAATGCTTGTTTTGTGAACAAGTAGATGATTACTACCAAAAATTAACCGACACTCTTCTTTTCTATTTATATAATGATTAAAATTCTTGCTTGACATATGTTTTTGTTTAATATTTCTGAATTCTATCTTATAATTACACAAGACTTTTTATTGTATGTTTTACAACATTGATTCTGCTCGCTTTTCAAAAGTAACTCTTCTACACTAATTATTACATTTATCATTTTCTAGATTAACTATTAAAAATAATAATTGACAATCCAATGCGAATCGAAAATTTACCTGATGAACTATTTTTATATATATTTTCTTTTATCGAACCTAAAGATCTTCTTAAAGGATGGTATAATTTAAATTATCATATTAACATGATTTTACGTTCAGTCGACATTCGTATCAATATTAAGAACAATGATGATTTCAATAACTCTCTTCCTTATTTTAAGCATTTTTGTTCGCAAATTACACATCTGAAAGATGAACGTTTCTTTCCGAATACTCAAATTGATCTACGTTCATTAATTAAAATTCGATTTCTCTACTTAACTCATTGCTCAAAAGAACAATACCAACATATTAATCCTAATAATCAACCTTATTTGACTCATTTTTTCTTTTCATCTTTACCATGGTCATTTTATGAACGAATTCTCTTTGAACAAGCACGTTTTCCTTATCTTATATCAATTGGCTGTCCAAGAGGTACTTCCATTTATTTACTGAGTGTTACAAATCCTATAAATAGAACAATTCGTCATCTTCATTTACATTCGGCATCAAATGAAATCATCTATAAATTTATTCAATATCTTCCTTCTATTATTTCATTAACTATTGATTATTTATATACAAATAGTTCATCTTCTCCTCTATTATTTACAGATTCTCGTGTTCGTCGTCTAAATATTGTCAATTCTCTATCATCTCAATTTCATTTGGAGCAGCTTCTCTTATCTGTTGGATTTTCTGATCTTACCGATCTTTGTATAACATTCGATACCTGTGATTTTCATCAATTAGCATACACTCTTACAAGATTCTCGTGCCTTAAACACTTTAATCTTAGAGTCAATACGTATCATTCAGGCCTCAATTTGATTGCAACTCGTCTTATGAGTCCTTGGTTTTTATCGTTGAACTACGAACACATCATCAATAGATATAGTCAAAAACAGGCTATTCTAATCAACAATATTAGAAAATAATTAAACTAATAGGTGGATATCTGTTCAGTTTTTTATATTAAATTTTCATACATCTACCTTCCTTTTTGTAAAAGGAAAGAGTTTGAACAAATATAGAAATTATTTTTAATCGCATCTGTTGTTTATATGGGAAAAGGTGTGTGATTATCACTGTATTAACTTAAGATTGAGGGTATGGGTGTGGGTGTGGCTGGATGTGGCTGAGGGTAAACAAAAGACGAATCGTCACCCACACCCACCCTTAGGAAAGAAAAAGAAAAGTTTCTTTTAACCCAGTTATCATTGATCGAAATGCGTATATAAATGATATAAATCAGTATGTTAATAGTTTGTTTTATTATCTACTTTCGAAATGAGAAGAATCTTCTGAATGTTCATTTATATTATTAGTCGAATTAGACATCTCATGAAATATGCATTACTTCGTTTCTTTGTTGTTAATTGCTTGACTTCCGACTCCATCCACTTCAATTTCATTTTGATGAGACACATAAGAATTAATCTCTATGAGAGTTACTTCATGACTTAAACAATTTTGGAAATCGAAAAAATTAAAAAATGTATCGGGTAGAAAAGAGTTAGTTAATATAGTTATACGAAAACATTCTTGATACATTCTGTATCATATACATACAAAAAAAGGCCAAATTGGCGTTTAAATGCTGTTTTTACCGTTTCTTTGTATGTCTGGGTTTATGTGAAAAATTCCAACTATTTTAATCTACCGTTTTCACATGAGTATTCGAAGAACTCGATTATGGTATATTTTGTCTTTTTGCTTTTCTTCCTTTCTTTCGCATGATCATATTACAAATATACAGATGCAGATAGGTAAAAAATGAGTAAGAGAACGAAAAAAATACTTGTAACAAACGAAGTAACCAACATGTGATTCTTTTTCATCATTTGACTTTCACGCATTATACGCATTTATATTATTTATCATGGCTGACGATGAGTATACATATGAAGTTATTGATAATGAAAGAGATGCACGTCTATGTGCTCAACTTATTGCTGAACAATTTACTAATCGTCATCCAATTACCGTCTTCGATCGTATAACAACAAACTCATTTTTTGATCAATATTCTTGGCCTTTGTTAGCTAATGTACTGGATGAACGACTATCATTTCTTGCACGGCATCGTTCGTCTGGAGAAATTATTGGTGCAGTCGTTGCTGGCGACTTGTATTTGTTTCAAAAGAAATATCCATATGATCTTTCACATCCTGCAAAAGCTATTGCAATTAGTGATTTATATGATGAACTCAATGACATATTTATTCGTCGTGATTTCAATCAAGAACTAAAACCAAATATGGTCTTACAAATTCCAATTATCGCAGTTCGGTCTGAGCATTCAGGCAACGGTGTAGCAAGTCAATTGCATGCCGTTATGTTCGATCGAGCACGAGATACGAAAGGATTTCAATATGCATTTGTTCGAGCAACAAATCCTATTATACGACATATTTATGTGAACAAGATGGGTGGAAGAGAATTGACTCTAGTTGATCCAACTACGTGGCGATGGAAGAAAAAAGTCGATCGATTATTATATCCGTACAATGATTATAGAGATGAGTTTATAGCAAATATTCTTATCAAACTGATCGCAGAACAAGACATGTCAACAGTATAATACATTCTGAAACTTCATTTAATATCTGCTATTCACTAATAACATTGATGTAACAATGAGAGTGATATAAAAACGTAATAAATATTTAACATCAACAGCCTGAACATGATCGTATGCAATAGAAAATTTCCATATTTTATATTAATGTAAAAAAATCTATTTTTAGAATAATTTCTAGAAAAATAATTGCTTTTATAACTCATGAGCATAAGACAAAAAGAAAAAAGTTATCATTGCCTTTCTGTCAGAGATGAGCGAACAATTCACCTGGATAAAGACGTTGAAGTTTCTCTTTAACAAACCAGACAAATGAAGACGACGGAAGAAAGAGTTTTTACTTTTTTTCTCGCGTTTGTAACTTACGTCTCTGTTTTTCATTAGCATAAAAATAGTAATTAATGTAGTCAATCGTCTCGTAGATTAGACGTTATCTTGTCTGAAGCAGGAAAAAATAGATTAAAAATAGTTACTTACACCGCCAGTCGTCTCGTAGATTAGACGTCATATTGTTTAAAGAAGGAAAAAATAGATTAAAAACACGTCGGTTTCTATGGTGTTTTTGTCATGTTTCTATTTTTCTAATTAGTAATAGTCTACGTAAAGAAATGACATATATAAGAAAAAGAAAATTGAATTCTCACATTCACAGTTAAAACTAGTTCATACTTCGTCTTAGTCTTCATGAAAAACTGAGTATAATCAGAAAAAATTCTTTATTTTTTTCGTACTGTAGTCATGCCTGTACGTGACGAAGAGCACGTTATGTTGTCTTACAATTGGAAGAGCCAAGAGATTGTATCCGAAATATATGATATTCTTAAAAGAGAAAATATTCCAGTTTGGTTTGATATTCAAGGTGGCATGAAAGTTGATATATACAAAAGGTATCGTTTCGTTAGGGAAATATTCTACTTTTTTTAGAAATATTTGATTTATCATTTTATTTTTTATTTAGCATGGCGGAAGGAGTAGAAAATGCTTCTGTTGTTTGTTGTTTCATGTCACCAGAATATCAGGAATCAGACAATTGCAAACTTGAATTGAAGTATGCTCAAACACGAAGAAAACGAATTCTCCCATGTATAGTGACCAAACAAAAAGGATGGAAGCCGTCTGATTGGTTAGGATTGATAACAGCTGGACTATTGTATGTAAATTTTAAAGATGATTCAGAAGAAACTATACGATTGAAAGCAAAGGAATTAATCAATCGAATAAAAGAACAATCGTCGTCATTGGAATCAACTTCTGAATTAACCTATCTAACGGAAATAATTAAATATGAATATATGCGAACACAAAATACTCATATTGGATTTATTATGGATCCAAATAAATCTTATCCAATCAAACAAAATTACATTAATTTAAATATTGTAAAATCCAAAGATCTACATGATAAAAAAAAGAAAATTTATGAAGCTCAGCTTAATAACGCTGCTGTAACTAATTTCGAAGATATCGATGACATAAAAGCTGATATAGATATCAAAGACATTTTTGAAATCTGTAAAAGCCAAGAGAAGCAGGTGTTGATAACCGGACGAGCTGGAGTTGGTAAATCAGCATTTTGTCGATATGTTGCCTACCAATGGGCCATGGGTTCGTACTGGTTACAATACAAACTACTTGTTTTTATTCCATTACGTCATTTGACAGCAAATCGCTATCCACCCGACAAAAATTATTCTCTTTTAGATCTCGTTAAAAAAGAACTTTTCAACGACAATCTATCAGAATATGATACCAAACTTTTGAAAAAACAATTCAATGCTAAAACAACACTCTGGGTTTTGGATGGATATGATGAAATTGTACAAAATGTACCACCACATTTGGGATCCTTATTCAAACAATTACTCATCACACCACACCATATTTTGACTTCCCGTTCATGCATGAATACATTATTATACAATGTACAAATGGAAATTATGGGTTTTACCGATCAGAATATTGAAGAATATGTTGAGCAATTTTTTCATCAAATAGACAATGCATCAAATAAGAGTAAAACTTTATTGAATTTCTTAAATATAAATCAAAGTATTTCAAGCATAGCACATATTCCAATTAATCTAGAATTGATTTGTAGTCTTTGGACTCATGAAGATTGGACAGAAACAAAAGAACTAACAATAACAAAATTATATACAATGATGACAAAATCATTATGTGAACGATACTTAAAGGGATTAACTGATCGAACCTTACAAATATTCACGAATGATGTTGAAGAACATTGTCGTAAAGAATTGACATTCTTAGAAAATTTAGCATTTAACGCAATGAAAAGTAACAGTATTATTTTACGACCATCTTTACTAAGAGCTGCATTGAATGAAATGAAATTATCTGGACAAGAATATCCATATATTCTTAACATGGGTGTTCTACAAAATTTTGACAAACAAGAAAACAATAATCAATTTGAAACAAACAAAGATCATTATTTTGTTCATCTCAGTTTTCAAGAATACTTTGCAGCACGATACTTAGTTAATACTCTGAATGGTTCATCACGTCAGAAAACAATCGAATTTATCAAAACCAATAAGTATAATCAACGTTACACATTACTTTTTGCGTTTGTATCCGGCCTTCTTGCGCAAAGTAATTCTCATCCCTTCTTAAATACATTCTGGAATATCATACTAGGAGAATCGTTGGACATAGTCGGTATAAGACATATACAATTAATTATTTCTTGTATTGAGCAATCTAGTCATCGTTTACATCTTTCTCTGCATGCTCAGTTATCTGATTTCATAACTAGATGGATAGAGTTCGCTGTGTTGACACAATATAACACTATATATGAGCAACTCGTCAATTCATTAGATTTGTATCCCTCATTAGGTCGTCTGCAACCGGTAATTGATGTTTTCATCAAATTACTTCGCAACAAAGACTCAGCTACAAAAATCAAAGTCTGTCGTCTAATTTCTAAGTTATCATTTGTAAATTTATCACAAACGTTGCTCCGTTCACTAGTTAGAGCGTTTCAAGATAAAAACTCTGATGTTAGACGATTTGCATGTAAAGCTCTCTGCAACATAGGTAAACAAACAGCAACAAATAACGTTATTAGTGAACTGTTGATTGCACTTGAAGATAAGAATGAGAATGTTAGACGATATGCATGTATAACTTTTGAAAAAATCGGTGAAAAAGTAGCAATAAGTGAAGTAATTAATCGACTAGTGACTACACTTGAAGATGACGATGCGTATGTTAGGATGAGTGCATGTCAAGCTCTTGGGCAGGTGAGCACAAAAGTAGAAATGAATGCAGTGATCAGTCATCTAGTGAATACACTTAAGGATGAGAATGAGAATGTTCGAATGAGTGCATGTCTCACTCTTCAGAAAATAGGGGAACGAACATCAATGAATGACCTGATCAGTAAGCTAATGAATGCACTTAAACATGAGAATGAATACGTCAGACAATACACATGTCAAGTTCTATCAGGAATAAATGAAAAAGCAATAACGAAAGAAGTCATCAGCAATCTACTTATTGTACTTTACGATAGAATTGACGATGTCAGAAAAAGTGCATGTGATGCTCTTGGAAAAATAAGTGAAAGTACAGTATCGACTGAAATAATAAATCACTTAATAGTTGTACTCGAAGATGAGGATGAATATGTGAGAAAGAGTGCATGTGACGCTCTAGGAAAAATAGGTGAACAGGCAGCAACGAGCGTAATTATCAATAGGCTATTGATGGTACTTGACGATGAGAATGAAGATGTCAGAATCAGTGCATGTATAGCTCTTGCGAAGATAGGTAAAAAAGCAGCAACAAATGAAGTAATTAGCAGGTTACTAACAGCACTTGAACATGAGAATGAGTATGTCAGACAATATGCACGTGTAGTTCTTGGAAAGATGGGTGAACTAGCAGCAACGAATGAAGTGATCAATAAACTAGTGATTGCACTTGAAGATGAGGATGAGTATGTCAGAATGAGTGCATGTCAAACTCTTGGAAAAATGGGTAGAAAAGTAGCCAATAATGAAGTGATAGATAAGCTAGTTGTAATGCTCGAAGATAAGAATGAAAATGTGAAACGATCTGCATGTATCGCTCTTCGAGAAATAGGTGAAACTACAGCAACGAATGAAATGATTAAGAATCTAGTAATTGCACTTAATAGTAAGGATGAAAATATCAGAATGAGTGCATGTATTGCTCTTGACGAAATAGGTAGAAAAGACGCAACGATTGATATAAATAGCAAATTGATGGCTGCACTTATACATGAGAATGAATATGTAACACAATATGCACATTTAGCTCTCGGAAAAATTGGTGAAAAAGCAGTAACAAACGAAGTAGTTAGCAAGTTAATGATTGCACTTGAACATAAGAATAAGTGTATGAGACAATACGCATGCCAAGCTCTCGCAGGAATTGGCGAAAGAGCAGCAACGAATGAAATGATTAGCAAACTAGTGAGTGCACTTGACGATGATAATCATTATGTCAGAAAAAGTGCATGCCATGCTCTAGGAAAAATGGGTGAAAGTGTAGCAACGACGGAAATCATCAGTAAACTAGTAATTGTACTTGACGATAAGAATGAAGATGTCACAATGAGTGCATGTATAGCTCTTGAAGAAATAGGTGGAAAAGCAGCAACAAATGAAGTAATTAACACGCTACTGACTGCACTTGAGCATGAGAATGAATATATTAGACGGTATGCATGTCGCGCTCTTGGAAAACTGAGTGATAAAGCAGCAACAAATGAAATAACCAAGAAGTTGGTAACTATATTAGAAGATGAAGATGAGTATGTTAGAATAAGTGCATGTCAAGCTCTTGGAAAGATGAGTGAAAAAGTGACAACGAATGATATTATCAAGATGCTATTGAATGCACTTGGAGATGAGAAGGAAAATGTCAGAATGAATGCATGTCAAGTTCTCAAAAATATTGGAGAAAAAGCCGCAATGAATGAAGTGATAAGTAAACTAGTGATTGTACTTCAAGATGAGATAACATATGTAAGAATAAGTGCATGCCAAGCGCTTGGAGAAATGGGTGTCAAAGCAGCAATGAATGAAGTCATTAGTACGCTAGCGATTGCTCTTGAAGATGAGAATAACTATGTTAGACATTATGCATATGAAGCATTGGGAAAAATGGGTGAAAGAGCAGCAACTAATGAAGTGATTGAAAGATTATTAAGATGTTTTAATTATGAAGACCATGTTGATATACGTGCTATGCATTCAATACTTGAAAAGTTTTTGTCTTTTTTCTCAATGTTGATACAATTAGATTCGAATACAGTTGCTACACTTCATACTTATACAGATCAAGGTCTATTTAATGATCTGAAGTGCTTTAGCGCACTACAATTAATAGAGACTTTTCTGAACACAAAAAATAGTGTTTGGCTTTCTTTTGCAACTCTTGTGACAGTTTTACAAGGTAACGCAGTGATTATTGTAGAGGATGTTATCGTTGTATATGAACATGAGGAACCAGTATACTTGCGTATCCCAGATAGAAAATTGCATGATCAGTTAAGCAAGGCTTTTGTTAGTCAAGTAAAGAGGATTCAGTTACCATTTATGCAAGTAGCAGAAACACAGATTCAAGTCTACCCGTCAGAAAAACGTAAAATATCTTCTTCAGACTTATCCAACGATGAAATAAGTTCAAAACAAAGTTCTTCGTTGTGTAACCTCTTGTAGTTTTGTGTGTATGTAGATGTTAAATTGTAACTTATGTTTTTAATATAAATGTTGTCTATTATTTTTTGTTTTTCCTACTAATCCCAATAAACCATCTTGAGGGTGTGGATGTGAGTAAAGAAGAAATGTACATCAATTTTTTTAATTAGGATACCATCCTAATGAATCAACAATCAATTCAAAATGGTTTGACTTCCATTGAATTTTAACTGAATTCTTGACTTTTCGTCATCAGGAGAAATCACCGCATGGTATTCAAAATGCTATGTATATAAAGTGTAATATGACTCGTTTTTCTTCCTCTAAAACAAGCAATCTACTATTGAAAAAAGGAGTACTGTAGAACATTTAATGAGCAGGAAATGTATTTTATTGTCACTAATATTTGAAGAAATGATAAAAACTAAAGCAAATATTATAAAGAAATCAAATTTCATTTCATAACCATCTGCAATTCGTGATCCTAATAAGTCCTATATCCATGAAAACCAGCAGATATAAAAAAAGAAAATTCTTCCTAATTATACAATGGTGTCATGCCCATATAATGATATCCGTCTGAAATTCTACTATTATTAGCAAAAGATCTGTTAAGAAATAGAAAACTTCTTCAAAAAAAATAAGGAACTCGAGAATGTTGTTAAAGGCAAGACATAAAGCTCGTGTTCTTTTCGATCCTTCACAAATTATATATCTATGTCTGGTTTTATTTGATAGTCGTCTTAAACAAATAACGACTGTGATTGTAAATTTCATTGATATGAAATCTTGTTCATCAAATAGTTAAAATATAGTAAGTTTGCTAATGATGCAGTATTTATTTAATTATGTACTTTCCAATTCAAAAACGGCATCTTTTGAAAAAAAGTTAATATAGATATTAATCATGTAACATATTGACGTCAACAGTTTAAAAAGAGTTGCTGAGTTCATAATTGAGTAGAATCTAAAAAAAAACAAAAAATTGCTTACGCTCTGCGTTTTCTAATGTACGTTTATATCTTGTAAAGAAAAAAAAAGAAATAATGATGAATACATTCTTTATGTTTACATAGAATGTCGTCGTTTTGTCAAATTATCGTGCATGAGTTATTCAATAGATGAAACGTTGAAGTATACTAATTGTCAAGCTTTCTGTTTTTTTTAATCAGTTGCTGAATTTACCTGGAAAATGAACTTGACTAAGACAATCGTTGAATCATGGTTTATTCCGTTGGATATTTTTATGATTATCCCTATTACCTTAGCCGTTATACTTGGTATGATATTTTTAATTGTTATATCAATTGATAAAACATGTCATACAGTACCAATGATGTTCACTGCTAATAGATTATTAAGTGCATTTGTACTTGGATGTGTTTTACTTAGTTTATGTGTATTTACACTTATAAATGATCTTCGACAAGTTCAATATCAAGATTCACTTTGTGTTTTTCGAGGTTATATGGTTTATGCTGTGGGTGCTGCACAAAATTATTCGAATGCAGTAGAAGCTTTTTATCGATATATTCTTGTAGTTTATCCTAGTCGATTATACTTTCGATCAATTCGATTTCAAGCAATAATCATTTGTATATCATGGATAATTAGTTTTATATATGCTTTGGCATTTTTATTTAATAATGAAATTATCTACAATGTCGATAATCAAATATGTCAATTACCTCTTCGACTTTCTTTCTCAATACTTTATATGTCATTTTTTACCTATGGAATTCCTATCTTGTTAATTGTATTCTATTATTTTAAGTTGGTTCGATATGTGAAAGAAATACGTAGACATACAATACCTGCAAACACTTTACTTCGTGCACAAAGAGAATTAAAAATGGTTGAACGCATTGTCATACGTATCATAGTCATGATCCTAACATTTCTCCCACTTACATTGTTTACGTTTATGTCATTTTTCAATTGTGCACCCAAATATCACTTTCGTATAGCTTATATACCTATGTACATTGCAATGTTTCCGCTTTTGCTTCTTTTATTTCTAGTTACGGCTCCGCTTAAAATATCTGTCATGAAAAGGATAAAATGCCGATCAAATATGGTAGTATCAACAGTAGCATAAATCATTGAAATCATATTCTATTTTTGTTCTTTTAACTTAAATAAAATTTGGAATATCAGTAGTATAGCTCGTCGTTTTTTTAGAAAAAGCTAGAGATGATGGATATTGACACCCACCCCTAATTGGGATTTTTTGTGAATACTAAATTTTTATTTATAAAGATGAACTAGAAGATTATTTAACTCTTGAGATTGCAAGTTACTCAATGTTTGATTAGAAAAAGTTCGAATAGTAAATGAAGACATTGTCATGATTACTTCTGCTCTTTTCAAATCCACAATATTATCTTGTATATAAATATTGATAATAGGAATATTTCTTAAGAATGCTGCTGATACTAATGCAAACATATTTATTGTGGATGAAGAACCCAGAATAATTACTGCTGTACTTTGTGTACCTTGCATAACCATATCAAATCCATAATGAATTTCAGCTGTAGCAGTAATAGGTGTTGGATCTATATTAAAATCACGACCAATCATAAAATCATGGAATGATTTAACTTCTTTTTTTATTTTAATCATTTCTATATCTGTTTTTAACATATTTGAAGTTGCAAAATGTATGAAACCACCAAGTTGTATCATCTGTTGTTTTATAAGTGATATCAATAACATAGTATCATGTTGCGTTTCTGCAAATAATATTAATGATGGTTTTGATATTTTATAACTATTCATTAAACGATCACCATGTAACCATAATTGATCTATAATAAATTCTCTACTTAATAAATCTCCAGGTACTCGTCTAGTTGTATCTCCTTTATTACTAATATTAAAATAATCTTTTGTAAATGAATGTGTAGTATCATCATTTTCGTCAACAGGCATAACAAAACTTCTAATATTAGCATATTTCCGTGCATTTGCACATAAATGAAAATCTTCACCGGTATCCCATGAATATATTTTATCATGAAACATTAATTTAACCCATTCACTTTCCATCAACCAACTTCAACCAACGACATCAACTTCAATAATTTGATTACTTTTTGATACAGGACCATAATAATAATTCTCTGCTGCAGGTGTACCTTTCGTTCCTAGAATACCTCGATATTCTTTTGTATTAATTGTATACATTGCAACTTCTAAATATCGTTTTTGAGGTATACAATCATCATCAAAAACGATGACATATTTTGTTCGACACTGAAGAGCAAGCTGAAACCTTCCAAAATATTTTAATTGCATTTCTCCCATACCTACGAATAACATTGCAGGTAATTTCATACAAAATTCTATACATTTAGCAGTACAATTAGATCTAATCTCATTATTATTGATGTTACATTTATTTTCTATACACCATTCATGACAATAATTTGATCCATTATTAAATAATAAACGTATTTCTTTAATTTCAATATCGAGTTTATCTGCAATAGGTGAAGCAAAATAAATAATCCAAATTTCTTTTGGTGGATGTGTTTGTAAAAGAAGTGCTTCAATCCATCGTCGAACTAAACCTTCCCGTTTATATAATCCAATAATAGTAGTAAGTGCAAATCTATCCTCATTTTTCTTTGATATATTATATTGACTAGGAATTTTAAGTATTTCATCCAAAGTAAGAGGCGATTGTACTTTTGTTAAATTTATCATCATCTTTCGTCGAATAGTATGTGATGATATATTTTTATATGAATAAACATATTGAGCAATAGAATCTTGACGAAATTTTGTCATACATTTTATATTTGATTTATAATTTCCGGAAAAATAATTCTCAATAACAGCTGCAATTTGTTTCGATGCAGTTCCATCACCAAAAATATTTCTTTTCGATGTTTGATTCGTTATCTTAATATTTTTCAATTCATCATTAACTGCTTTTATAATATCATCATAAAAAATACCTATTTGTTTAATTGTACCAAGATAAATTCCTTCTGGTCTTTCAGTTGTCATTTTCATTAATATAACTGGTTTGCCAATACTAACTGCTTCTTCTTGAATTCCACCTGAATCAGTCAGAATTATATCTGATTCTAATAAAACATAACCAAATATGTCATATGATATTGGATCAACAATTTTAACATTATCTAAATTATTTAAAATTTTTAATACGACATTTTTAACATTTGGATTTGGATGAACAGGTAAAATAATTAAAATATCTGTAGTATGTTCATTAGCTATAGTTTTTATAGCACGACACATATCAAATAAATATGGAAAATTTTCTCTACGATGCATAGTAACAAGAATAACAATTGAGCGAGTTTTATTAATTGGATTCTTTTTAAAATTATCAATTAATCTTAATATTGAATTATTTTTATTTGGATTTTCTTGTTTATAATATTGATAAAATGCATCAACACCAGTATTACCAGTTATAAATATATCTGTTTCACAAGCACCTTCTCGAATAAGTACTTCTTTAGCAAATGTTGTTGGTGCAAACATAAGTTTAGCAAATGAATCAATTATTTTTCGATTAAGTTCTTCGGGAAATGGATTTGATAAATTAAATGTTCGAAGACCTGCTTCAACATGTGCAACTGGAATTTGATGATATGAAGCAACTAAAGCAGAAACAAGTGCACTTGTTGTGTCGCCTTGAACAATTAATAAATTTGGTTTAATTAGATTTATTTGTTCATTTATTTGAAAAAATATTCGATGAAATAAATTAGATAAATTTTGATTATTCATCATTAAATCTAAATCAATATCAACTGTTTGTTTAAATGCCATTAAATTTTGTTGTAAAATTTCTCGATGTTGAGCAGTACTAATAACAATAACTTGAAATTTTGAACGATAATAATCAGATTTTAATTCAGCAATTAATGGAGCACATTTTATTGCTTCTGGACGTGTACCTAATACAATAAGTATTTTAGGAAGACTTTTATTATTAATTAATATATCAAATGTTTGTTTATTTTTATAATAATTGAATTTAAATACATTTGACCATGATGAAATATTATTATTATTATCATTTTTAATCAAAATATTTGATAAAATAACGTAAAAAAATAAAATAAATATTAGAATCCATGTACAAATACGTCCTACTCGTACATAACTCATATTTTAATCTAAAAAAAGTATAACAATTTGAAAGTTACACAAGTTTATGTTACTAATTTCAAAAGAGATCTAAGAAAATGTAGCAGAACAAAGGATTCTTATAACGCTTCTTTCAATAAATATATTTATTTTTCTCAATTAATTCGACATATTTTTGTTATTTAGCTTCTACAGATGCATGTTTTATTAATGATTATATTTAGAAAAAATAGTTAATTATCAGTTGAAGAATTGAGAATTAAACTAGAAATGATTATAAGATATGGGTGTGGGTGACGTTGTCCGTATTTGTCCACACCCTCAAGATCTTCAAGCTCCAAAAAGATAGTTTGCAGAGGAAACTATACCCAAATCAACATAATCATTTTATAGTTTTCTCAAAGTCTTATGCAATCCTAAGTCCTTGATATACCATTCAAAAAGTTGAAACCTGATTCATGATAGTCATCAACAAGTTGTTCGAAGCCTAAACTGATCGATCACAAGCTGGAAGAAAATAAAGTCTTTTTTGTGTATCAATCACAAAGATTGTGCTGAATGCCTTAGGAAACTAGCAAAAAATAACAAAAAAAATAAAATTTATTATTTCATTTGTTACAGATTTTTTATCTTGATTGTTTTAATGAGAGCCATTATGGTATATAATAGATAATTCAAATAATAAAAAAAACAACAGATGGCACATTATGCGTTGTCTCTTATATAAAGAAAAAAAGAAAAACCAATGTGTTGTTTTATTAACTTCCTTGTTAGAATATTGTGGGATTTATTAGTGAGTCTCATTATCTAAGATGTGTTAAGATGAAAGCAAGTAATTTGAGTACTGAAAGAAAAATCTTAATTATTTAAAGACGATGGACATATATCTTGTTTCATCTATATATCAATAGTAAAAAGTATTTTATTTACATCAAACTGTTAGATATGCAAGATGATTGAAGTTATATATTTCCAACTCATTTATTTATTAAAATCAATTAGCTCAGGATAAATTAGCATATTTAAACTATATGTTTTCAGTGATAGTGTCTCACCACTTTGACATTTTGAGTTAAATACAAGCAAATGATTAAAAAATATTGTGTCTTTAAAGAGTTAAGCAAGAGATTGCAGCAGAACTAGTGATAAGCGGAAATATATTCGAATATAAAGAAATGCTGAACACTATATATGCGTAAGAAGGAAGGAAAGAAAAATTTCGTTTCGTGATCATTGTTTGTTTTTTTCCTATGTTTGCAAACATATACGATAATTCAATATAAGTGGGAATTTTTATATATAATTTAATCATAGAATAATTGAGAAAATAAAATATCACAACCACAACTATAGACTTGTGTTACCGCTCGCTATTTGTATTTTACCTCGATCAAAGCAATAGTAATTGTTCAATAACTTCATTCAATTCAATTGTAATAATAACCAGATTCAAACTAACATTATTTCTATGATTTTTATGTTAAAAAAAAGATATTCTTTTCCATTTGTTTCTATTTGTATCTCTTTCTTCGTAAGGATGGGTATGGCTGTGGATGAAGATGAAGGTGAAGTAGATACACTCACATCCACACCCATACCACCCATCATCTTGAGGGTGTGGAGATCAGGGTGGGTATCCTTTCTTCATTCCACATTCATCTAAGCGTTTTCGACATTTTACCTTTCAACGCTTTCGTAGCAAATCGTTGGGTGGCCGTTCTTTTTCTCATGCAATACAGCCAAACTCTACATTGTTCAGGCACAATAATTTCATATCGTAAAAGTCTTTTTCTACAATGCATATCTATTGATATGTATTGTTTACCTTACCGATGGATTTTAACACTCATTTGTGTTCCCAACAAGATTAGAGCTTCTCTGTACGCGCGCGCATTTTAAACAATTGTTTTCTCATTTAGAAAGGTTATTTTTTCTTCTTCATAAAATAAAATTCATAACAATATAAATTATTGTTTGTTTTTTACATCCTCGAGGTTACTTCTATACTTTTGAATGTTCGGATGATCGGAAGGTAATGACTGTTGTGCAATTTGTAAAGCATGCTCATAAAATGTACAGGCTTTCGGATAATTATCCATGCTGTAATGCACTTCACCAATGTTGTTGTAGGAATAAGCCAAATCAGGATGATTGAGAGAAAGTGATTGTTGTTGGATTTCAGCAGCTTTTTCATAATAAGAAAGTGCTTTTGAATAATTGCCCAAGTTGTAATACACTGAACCAATGTTATTGTAGGATTTAGCCAAATCAGGATGATTGAGAGGAAGTGATTGTTCTTGAATTTTAAGGGCTTTTTCATGAGATGACAGTGCTTTTGGATAATCACCCATGTTTCTATGCACTTCACCAATGTTGTTATATGAAGAAGCCA